AGGCCTGCTGAGAGTTTATTATTGTTGCAGTTTCCATAAAATCACCGTCAGAGTCAGAGGCGGTACTGTGACGGCTGCTGTTACTGACATCATGATCGCCCTGACCCTGCACGTCGCTTACACTGGTTTCCCCAACTGGAGGTTGAGGTATTTATAAAATAGGGACAGTTTTTGAACCTGACTGTTTTAGTTTTGTTCACATTTTTATTTCAGTCTGGGGCTTTGTTAGGATGTCTAGAATTCGCGATTTTAGAGGAGTTAGTTTCTGAAGTGTACTCTGGCTCTTCTGAAGGCACGTATCTATGAATCAGCTGTCCGGTCGACAACTCGGACATATAGGTGTTTTTTCCGATCTTCCTGGATATCTTTGCTGGGGTCCATTTCCTTCCTCGACCACCTGTATAATCTGCCTTGCTTCAATCCTGCCTTTCTGGGGCTTTCTCGGTCTGTGTATGGTCGTTGTTGGATCTGGGATAGTCTCGTTCTGGCTTCCCTGCCAAACATCAAATAATATGGTGGTTTGTTTGTTGAAGAGTGTAGAGTTGTCCTGTACGACATCAGGAATCTGGAAATGAGAGTTTCCAGACGTAGTTGTCTGTTTCTCGGGTCTTGCAGTGCTGTTTTAACCTTGCTTTTGAATGTTCTCACTGCGTTCTCTGCCGCTCCGTTGCTTCTAGGGTTGTATGTTGGAGAAGTGAGATGCTTTATTCCGTTTTTGGCGATTTTTTTTTAAGACTGGCTGAAACGAACATACTGCCATTGTCACTTACGACGGTTTCCGGCAATCCAAACCTGGCGAAGGTCTTGCGCAGTTTTGACTCGGTCTCAAAAGCTGATGTGTTTTTCATTAGGAAAACTTCTACCCATTTGCTGTATGCATCTATTAAAATTAGAAAGTCCTTGCCTTTCAGCGACAGAAAATCCATGATAATTCTTTCGGAGGGTTTTGATGCTAATGGCCACGGTGTCGAGCCTGATTTGGGTGGATTATCCTTGTTAAGAATGCATGTTTCGCACGATCTCGCCAAATTTTCGATATCTGAATCAATGCTGGGCCAGCATACATATGATCATGCTAGGGCCTTCATCCTTGACATTCCCCAGTGAGATGTGTGAATCTCTGACAAAATTTTCTTTCTCAGTGCTCCTGGCACAATTACTCGATGAGAGAGTAGGAGAATTCCGTCCTCCACCGAAATTTCAACACGCCTGTTGTAGTATGGCCTTACATTTTCGCGGATTTTACCTTTCCAACCGTTTTTGATGCAGGCTTTCATGCTTTCCAGGTTAGCGTCTACGAGAGTTCCTTCTCTAGTTTCCCTGTTGTTTATTGGCCATTCATCTTGGCGCTCCGTGAAATTCACAAACAACACTTCCGATTTTTCTTCTCCTACTGCTTCCTGTGGCGGTGCTCTGCTGAAGTAATCTGCAACAATATTTTGCTCTCCTTCAATAAACTGAATCTTGTAGTCGAACAACATTCGTCGAACATCAATTACTCCCTACTGGAAGGGGTTGAGAAGGTGGTCTTGAAGCCACGATAATCAGCTTTCTAGGGGCGTTGAAGATGGAAAACCTCCCCGAATGTGTACAGGGATTACGAGACTTTAGATAACGGAAAAAAACCCATAAATAGGTACCCGGGAAATATTACAGAAATTACATCAAAATATCACAACATAAAATTGTTGGGATTAGGAATTCCATGATATGACTTACCCACTAAATGGCGTCAAGATTTTCGACTATGGTGAACGTGGACGAATGCTTTGTTTGTTGACAGTGTGTCGTTAAAGTGATAAATAGCCTGAAAGTCAAAATGACCGAAATCACTCTAGAATGTCGAATATGAAAAATCCCTTTTTCAAGGAACGCAAAAATCACCAGGATTCAATGAAAATGCGTTAAAATCATCAACGGGCTAATGCACTAAACACTAGTTGGTGTGATTCTGACCTTTAAAATTCAGTGTCTATATAGACGAGGAACCAAAGTACGCGAATATATGAGTGGGGAGAACCCATTATTCGGGTATTCAAATTTTAAATAGTGTAAATACCAGAATATTTCACTAAATAAAACTTTTCAAACTAATCTAATTCAAAGATAGCGCTGAAAGGAATTTGTTTAAACTAATCCAATTAAACATTACTCTATAGAAACTAGCAACATGTAATGCAACCCCATTTAGACCGTTACAATATTTTTGTTGGGAAGTGGTCTAAGGCCGGACCAAACCTGTAGCCATGTCATCAGAGCTCGAATCATTAGCAATTGCAACAGTCTCTCTCTCTCTCAGTCTGACCGTCGTTTGCTGGTGTTTCAACTTTGATACAAGTTGCAAAAGAAACTGAGTCATCTGATCTCAAGTCGCATTACCCTTTTCAGCAACCTTTTGGATATTATCAATTTCTTGGCGAGAAGTAATTCGTTTGTGCGTCTTCCATTATGAGTTCCTCTCGAATTTTTTATTCACGTATTTCTCACATTGAATTCGTGAATTATCTGGGTCTTCCCAGAATTATCTTGACTCTGATTTGTTCCTCAGAGATTACGGTTTGAATCCATTCTCCCTTAAGTTTAAAATTTTCTCGAAGCCAGTCCGGGTTTTCTTATTTTTTTAATAATAATAATATCCTTTATTGCCAACAAAATGTCTTGGGGCTGCCTTCTCTCGTTATTCTTTCTGTCTTCGGGCTTCATATTCTTGTCTTTCTTTCTGGTTTCGGGCTCTCTACTCTCGCCTTCTGTTTCGATGTTTTTCGATGTCAAAAAAAGTATCAATTCGTGTATCACTTTTGGTTTCCGCAGAAAACCCGTTTGTAAAATAAGCAATGTCAGCTTGAAAAGTGTTTGTGAGCATTGTAAGGAAATTTTTCTACTTGCGTGCGCAAAGTAATCACTTTGCGCACTCATTTGCGTGCGCAAAGTTGAACTTTGCGCACGGAAACTCTTTGCGCACTCATTTTTGTTACGCATAATTACCATAGTTATACTTGATTTTTCAATGTTTTGATGGTTTCTGAATAAGCTAATATTCATAATGAAGGGTTTTAGTTGAAATTAGCACTTAGTTAACATGATGTTTCCTATCAAAGGTGTCCAAATTGGACCAGCCTGTACTGCTGGGAATTTGTACAATTTTTGATATTTGAGAGACTCTCATGAAAATATTTTAGCTGATATTCTAGAAATTCCAGAAGATGTTAAAAGATTTTTGGGAATTTAATTTAAAAGACATTCTAAGGAATTCCAATAGATTTTAAACAATTTTTGAAGATTTTGATTTGATTGATTTTTCTAATATTGTAATAATTCAAAGTCTACTTTTTTAAGATACTCGTAGAAAAAATATTGTTCCTAACACTTGCGCAAAGTGTCTTTCCCGCACTCAAAGCTTATCCGAACTCCGCTTCGCGTCGTTCGTCTAACTGCTTTTTCGTGCGGAAAAAAAGTCGGATTCTGACACTGAGATAAACTTTAGCTGTATCTACTCCTACAGAGCTACGACAGGTCGTAGCAAAGTTAGAAAATTTGATGCCTCATAAAAGCAAGAAGCACATATACGAAAAAACTGACTTCCTAGAATGGTGGTGCTTCGATAAAAAATTCCGAAATGTGGAGTCCCAGACTGTTCGCGACGTACTGATGGCGAAAGTTAAAATATCGTCACCTTTATGACCATTGACCAAAACTGATTTATCGATCAAATATAACATGGAAATTTCAAAAATGGTAAATTAATAGTTAAACGAAGTATTAACTTTCCATCGGGTGGAAAGTGACCACTTTGCGCGCGGGTGGAAAATAAATAGTCAGAAATCTTCAATTTTCCATACCTTGAAAATATCGGAAATTGTGATTACCTGATAGTTGCAAATAACAGTAGGTATATTACATACCAAGGTGGGAAGTGTTTCATTCTTCTCGAGAGATTAGTTAGTTAACTGAGACGCGAAGCGTCGAAGTTAACCATAATCTCGAGACAGGAATGAAACTTCCTACCGCGGTTTGCATACGATTTTATTTACAATCATCCAGACTGTGTGAGGGAAATCGAAGAGGGAAGTAGAGTAGGTAATGTGAAGTTTGGCCCATGTGTGGCCGCCACGCCATCTTGAATGTCACGTGGTTTGGATTGCCTAATTAGCTGACGTCACACACATAACCTCACTTTTGATTGGGGGGACAACATTGAGGTAGGAGGACAAACTAAGCTTTTAGGGACTATTTATACCAATAATTTACACACATCAGTTCCCTATGATTGATTCTCTCTTGACAAACTTTCCTCTGTTTATCCTGGACTGATGAGAAGCGAAAAAAATCTTATTTTGTCTCTATTCGAGCGATTCCCACATAATCTAAGGTTCCCATACTGAACTGAACAAAATTTAATCGTTCTGGAAATTGACTAAAATAGAAAAAGAACAACAGTAATTTGGCTATTAGTTCAAACTTTACAATCTTCGAAAAACTAGAGAAAGTAGCTAGGTACTTGTTTAACCTTAATAATAACAAAAAAACGGTAAAAAACACCAACTGACAAGTTTAAGGAGTCCACACAACTTAATATAAGGTACACGATTATTTCAACACTTTCATATCACTTTGCACCTTTTTTGCTATCTTTAGGAATGCACGTTTAAAAAAAACTACTATAATTTATCATTACACAGTCACAGTATGTTTATTTATTTATTAATTTATTATAATTTTGCTGATTAAACAGTTTAAAAAAAAGTATATACGCAAATAAATGTGGATATCGTTTGTTTGTCCCCCTATCTAAAGTCACGTTATGTGATTTGTGACAAGCTAGCGCCTGTATGTATGAATAGTACTTCAAACGCTTTGTTTGTTTCCCCATCGAAAGTGAGGTTATGTGTGTGATGTCAGCTAGTAGGTACCTGATTATTCCAAATTGAAATAGATAGTTTTAAATGATCCAAGCTTTAGACTATAAAAAACAAAAACTCTATCAAGGTAAATTTTTTCAGGTCACGAAAATTGCACATTTCACCACGACTTGGAGTTGGACCACAAGCCTCCGACTCGAGAAGCCCTACTGCCAGAAATGTCCAGGTCCTTTAGACTGTTACTAGGTTCACTTGGCGAAAATCCCGACAGACAGGGCCTACTGAAAACACCGGAGAGGGCCGCAAAGGCCATGCTGTTTTTTACTAAAGGCTATGATCAAAATTTGGAAGGTAAGAATTTTTCTCTTTTGTGCGAAAGCCATCTATACTGTGTTGACTAAAAAGCAATAATACACTCTGCTGAAAAGAAATATGGGAAACCTTAGGAACTAGATGTAATTAATGAAAAACATTTTCACACCTTAAAAAAATAGGGTGCTACAAGATATTTCAACATTATATTAAACTGAAAATTTCCGAGCTAATTCTGTTCTCGCATGGCGCAATTACTCGACGCTTTCTACATAAATCAAATTATATGCTGCTGCCGTATAATAGCTTTAAAACGGCCTTTTGAAACCCTCCTATATTTTATCAAATGATTGAAAGAAAATAGGTTCTAGAGGAAGTACAATTCTTTTAAGAGGATTTTCATTTCTTATCATGACAACGATAAGAAAAAACGAAGGAAATGCTGGTTTCTATGGAGTCGGCACGTTCAAGACGTTCAAGTAGATAAATCAAGGTTTCAGAGGGAATCAGTAAGGCGGACATCTTTCACTTTAACAAACTGTTGCTTTAATGCACTTTATTTCGCTATACTTACTTTTTTTATTTTCATGTCGAAATTAACCATGAATTAACGTTAAATATAAAAGCATTTCATCATAAAAATTTTATTTGGGCTTCCATCATAATCATAAACTTTCGATCGATTAACACAGCCACTCACTCTCCGGACATATTTCACCATCAGGATTTGACACCGTTCAACGATAGGACTTAAAATTTTATTGAAACTGCAGAGTAGACCTGAGGATTTAGGGGTTTTATTTGTCAGCACACATCATTTAAACCCTTATCATAATTATATTAAATGTACACTGACTTTGTCTTCTGCGTTCATAAACAAAAACATCTTTCACTAATGATTGCGCGATAAAATGGCTTTTTGATTATTGCAAATCTATAGGTACCTATTTCACAAAAAAGCAAAAATGATTTCCTTCAGCTGCTTCGGGAAAAATAAAGTAGCATCGTTAAATCGCGCCTCTGTAGTGACGTCACAAGGGTATCGGCGGTTGAGAATAATAGGCAATCCTCCTTGCTTATAATCCTTGGTTTGTGTCAATCGTTCGTCGGCTGTCATTATCATTAGCTGTCTTTCTCCGTTTCTCTACGTTGTATCTTTCTTCTCTCTCGTGTAACGAAATTTCCCAAAACGTGACGCGTCTTTCAAATCACTCTCCATTCTCGTCAAATTATCAGACCGCCGCCTAAGAAATTTTCACTTCAAAATAAATCGAGTTTTAGCGAAAATAAATCTCTCAAACAAATAAACCCATCAAACCCATATCTTTGGTAAATTTCAAGCAAATTGAATATATATATATATAAGAAGAATGGACGTTGTTGCTGACAAGTACGAAGACAATTTTGGGAATCGATTTGGGGAATGCAGCAAAAATAAAGTGTACTCTTTAAAGTTTATCCGAGCTTTCGATAATGTTTATTATCATCTTCAGGGAACTATGGATCAATATACAAGTTAAAGACAATAAGACAATACTATAATGTAACTTACATCTTTGGTGAGATTATTAAAGATAAATGTTGTGTAAATTACAGGCCATTCAGAGCTGAATAAGAGCTACAAATGCTGAAAATTTCAATGCAATTTGCTCAACAGGTACTGAGCAATTGAGGTTGGAATATTTTGAAATCAGAATTCAGAAAAACTCGATTTTTTTATTTTGCAATTTTGCTCAATTTTGCCAATCGATAAAACGGGTCAGGATTAGTAGAAAACAACCCCGATATCAATTCCAAATGGCTATTTCAAGCAGAAACAAAAATAAAAAGAAAATCCTATTTTTGGGTCTAGAAAATTTTCAAAATCTTGACATGGTCATGATGAACAATTGCCCATATCTTTGTTAAATCTCAAGTAAATTGAAATAAATTTTATACCATTGGAAAACAAGGGCGTAGATACTTTACATTTCTGGGGGGGGGGGGTAAAGTTAGGGTGAGCCGGGGGGGGGGGGGGGGGGGGTCCGAAGAAAAATTTCAAGCTCATTTACTTTTCCAGAACTTGACCTTAGTACTAATAGCTTCGTTCGCAGTAAAGGTGTTCAGAACCAATTCTGAACGATAAGGAAGCAATCACAATAAATTTTTTTTTTGTTAGACTGTCACTTACAGGGACACTTTATCCGTTAGGACAATTAGGTCATGTCCTACGGGCCACTAGAGAATGAAGGCCAACTGCTGGCCTTTAATTTATAATATAAAATATAAAAGCCCACTATACTAAAAACATCGACTTGTTTAATAGCAGGACTAGCATATATTTCAATACTCTTTAATTCTTATAATTCACACTGCACAAGCATATTTGGTTTGGCCAGAGTGCACTGCCTGACGTCACGAAGCTCTGGAATCGCTTCGCTTGCTCCATCGAGCATCAATCCGGAACACGCCCTAGAGTCACTGAGCTGCGCTGAATCGCCGTCATGTCATTAGCGCAGCACGGGCACGTGGCAACTGGCAACGACTACAGCAGAAACCTGTTAGTGTTTGCGCTACTTTGCCAAATTGTAAGTTTCTTTGAGCTTCTTCTGGAGCATCCAGGGACTTGAGCAGTATCTTAAGGGTCCAGTGTACCACGAAGTCGTGCCTTGTTGTTGTTGAGCTTGTAGGACATGCACAGGCAACGTGGTCAGTGGCGACGCCAGGGGTGGGCCCGAGGGGGCCAGGGCCCCCACTGAAATGTAGCTGGCCCTCCCTGAAAACTTGCTCTAATGTCGGCAACAATGCAATGCAACATGCAGCCTCTCCCGGTTAAATTCGGTATTCGGTAAGCACAGGCCAAGAATCGTAAATTAACAGGATTGCTCATCCTCATAAGGGCGGGTATTATAAAACTACTTTGAGAGTTAACTTAAAGTTAACTTCTTGAATTACATGTAATTCAAAAAGATAACTTCAAGTTAACTGTCAAAGCAGTTTTATAATACCCACCCTTAGTCGTACTTTTGCCAATTCTCGAGTCGGCAGGGCCTGCGAGTGACGCCACTACTAGTTAGCATTATAGCAGGATGACGATACTGTTTTACACTCGGCTAATGCATTTTTCGACAAGTATGAGGTCTTTGGCTGAAATGGTAGACATTTTCAGTTTAATAAGCAGTCCTATTAGGTTGAGTTTTCTTGTGCACTGGCTGCGACGCTGCTTTCGCTTTTCTAGGATTCCCCCAAACATATTAGTATCGACAGGTCGGTACTTCCCATTTTTTATTCCAAAGAAAAGAAGCAGTTAAATAAAAACAAGTGCCCCCCCCCCATAAATATTTCTGACCCAGTCTGGCTCCCCCTAACATGAAACACTGGCGCCGCCACTGAACGTGGTACGAATTTTTCTCAGAGTTGCAACCGTTTATGCATCTTTTCCTCGCTAATGGATTTGATCTCAAGCCATGCAGCTGTTCTTTTGAAGCACCCATCAGTACACTTAGTCCCCAGCATCCATATGTGGTGATTGGTAGGCTGGGAGCTCAATGCCATCATTTTCTTTTAGGACGTTCCGACCATATAGCATGTTTTGTGACCATTTTTGTTTCTTTGATTTTACCAAATACTACTTGGCAACATTTTTTGTCTTCATATTCTGCCAGGTTAGGTAGTAGTTTGAAATCGTCTGAATGATTTTATTAAACCCTATAAAAAAAAACAATCACTCATGAAAGGCCATACCAAATATTTGACCTACGGGCCAGAGAAAGGTTAAAGCGTCACTGGTCACTTATTGCTATTTTCTATGGTGATTGGTGCTTTAGCGTTCAGAACTGATTCTGAACCGTTACTGCGAACGAAGCTATTATTTAAGTAGGTATATACTTTTTTAAAAGACCCCGCACACTTTATGAGATTTCTGACCGCGGTCAAATTTAACCAAATTTTAGTATGTTATAGATCTCACCTTTCTGATCAATAACTATTGTGTTTGTGTCTTCAAGATGAAGGGATAATAATAATTATAGGTTTCGTTAAACAGGACTTTCTTTATTTTAATTGAAGAACTTAAAATGTGTTAAAACGTCTTAATAACTATGACAATGTGTCTGACTACTGTCACTATTATTAAACTCCTGACAGACAGGTAACATTTTATAGTTAAGGCAATATTCTGCTAATACTAGTTGGTACAGTACCATGGAGTTATACAACATGTTCCTTTTTTTTATAAGAGAAGAAATAATTTTATAAATGAATTAATGACAAATTTTAACTATCGTCAGTATCAAACCTACGCGGTTTTTTCACTAGTCTGCCACTACGAGTAAATACTCTAGTCGTCTGTGCTTTTTGAGATGGCGTGTCAGCAATAGAGCAATTTAAATTCGGCGAGTCTGTACTTGTACTGGATCTAGGCTGATCTTCAATTGTCGTAGAAGGAGCGGATGTATTGGGTTCAAACTTTTTTATTAATAAATGATGCCTATTTCTTCGGTAATCTACACCATCCTGGGTGCGAACTACAAAAGACCTTGGCATTGGACCTTTTTCAGTGACCAAAGCAGGTTCCCAAGATGAGTTGGCAGTCTTTTTATACATGACATTGTCTCCTACATTTATATCTGACAAATTATTGTAATGAACATAATCAATAACTTTTGGCTTAAGAACGCTTTCTGTTACTGGTAACTTCATTCTCAAATAACGCGACATCAAAAGCTGAGCAGGAGAATATCCGCTAGCTTGGGCCGTGTTTCTGTACTGGAGTATAGCAATATATGGATCAGTATTTGACTCACGACATTTGTTAAACAAACTCTTCACAGTAGCAACAGTTCTTTCCACTAAACCATTACTTTTGGGGTAATTAGGACTAGACGTATGGTGACTTATATCCTATGACTGGACAAAGTTCTTGAATTCTTGCGAGTTAAATGGAGGACCATTATCAGATACTATTATGGATGGGATGCCATGACGAGCAAATATTGACTTCAGACTTGTAATTACTTGACTGGCATTAATCAGTGGCGTAGCCAGGATTTTGTCTTGGG